CGCGCACTTAATGAGCTTCATGCAGCTGTATCGGACGCTACATAAGGAAGATTGTATTAGTTGGGAATTAGAAATGACTGAGCACGACATGTCCCCTGTGTTCTGGTGTACCGGTGCGTTAATCCGTTAACTGTTTGAACGTTGATCTGTCAAGTTCGGAACCCACATCAACCGTTTTGAAAACTGTACTTTAGGCCTCCAGTCAACCTTTCCTACAGCAAACCCAATCGAATTGACGTGATTGAAATGCCCGGACAGCTATCCAGCACGACTTGCATACCGCTTTGATCGCTCGGATGATCCATCCTGTGACCCAATAGCATTCGTAGACGAATGGGGTGCAGTTGGCGTACATGTATTGATGTTCTCACATTGCACACGGACGGCTGTGCCAGCACCTTTCTCTGATACAAATTAACTCATCGACCGGAGTGGTCCACATGACTGTATTACACTGAGGCAGTATCGTGGTCAAGACGATCGAGTATCACAGAAATCTACCAGCGCTAGAATCCTGGTGCCATTTGTGACAATTGGCATTGCCAGTCGTACAAGCGCGAAATACCGCCAAACAGTGTAACGCACATGTATCTCTCAGCATATAAGATTAGAGAGAAATCGGACTGCGTTTTTGTCCTGCATCTTGGGATAATCAGTATTCAGTTCTCATTACGAAGGTCTGGGGTCGGGCTTTGTTGCAATCCTAATGTGCCTAACACTGTTTGGCGGCATTTCGCTGGGAATCTATGTTGATCGGAGCACGATTACGAGGTTACAACTGCAATCTAAACTTTTACGGTTATTGTTGTGCTATGAAACGCCCTATTGAACGGCTGTTCGCAGATGTGGTAGTTTACGCAATTAACTACTGGCAAGGGTGCGAAAAACGAACGACTGCTCAGGGCGGCATTACCTGTGGCTACGCGACTGCTGTTAATTTATCGGTGGTTTTGCGGGAAATATTTCCCTAAAGATCGTGGTACACATACGTTGTGCATTCCCTACGTGCTATACCAGTACGCCGCGCGGTACATCGGAGTTCATTCGACCGCGCTGGTTTTACGTGCTAGGCACGATCAATGATCACAATCTCAACCTGTGGCGGTCAAGCCTGCTATGTCCTTATCAAAATCCTTAACCACTGGCTCACCAAAAGCCAACAGAGATACGCGAGAAATCATAATTGCAAGCCATGCATCCGTATTTATGTGTGAATCCATTTCTCAAGCTCTCGCGCGGTTGTACTACAACGCGGCCACGAAACCAGTCATGCGACGCGACCACGCGAAATATTTGCCCTGGGCGCCACAGTGTTCCCCCGAATGCAGAACTGGCTATTTCTTGCAGCGTATAAAGTGCACTCTGACCCGACATCACAATAACGTGCGCATAACACTCCTCCACTTACCGGTGACTTACTGACCGTGCAAGGAGTTGCATATCAGTCATTTTTGGTGCATCAATCCATTGTGAATTTGTTGATGCTTTTCGATAACTCTCAGTATTTCGGCAATTCAATTATCAGACGTCCTACTTTTCAGAATGCTGAAACGCTATCTGCATTATCTATGGTTATTCATGAAGGAGTAACGTATGACGCACATCAGTACGAAGTAGACGATACGCTACAAATACCACTCGCACATGTCTCATTGGTAGCCAATCCCATGTCATTGCTTAACGCTGGACGTCAGATATCGCTGCAACTCCCGTACGAATGTATAACCATACGTACGTGCATACATATTTCACCGAGAGTTAGAATTTCTTCTTGTCCCTACTCGCTCCTAGTGGTACACGCTATACAACCAGATGTCTAAAGTGATGAGCCGGAAATGTAATCAAAGCACGTCATATTTTTCAAACAATCAGGAAAATGTACACGGATGTGTCGAATCGCATTACGACATCCCACAACACTGATCTCACTGGTTGCTGTTCTGGCAATGCGTTCCAGAAACTGCAACCTCCATTCTATTTGCATCATGAGGTTCTACGGATCCCGGGTTAGAAGTTCATCATACTGCATTCGCATTTCATTCTCCACACGGGCCTTCCCACCTGCCAAGCATTTTCGATGGAATTGAGGAACGAGGAGTATGGGCTCAAGCTCAGAATGGTAATCCCTTCATATCCTTCGACTGAGGCAAGTGCTTCCAAACGTGAGTGACATGGTGCATTGTCACACACTACGACCACCTGCCGGAGCTCCACTCCCCGTTTCAGTTTGTCTAAAATGCCTCGCAGCCATTCGAGAGATAGGGGGCCAGTGAATGAGCCTCTCCGGGTAGTCATCGAAACCTTTCCATCCATTATGAGTGCACCGATGCGATGCAAATCCAGGCCTGTACTGTTGGCTACCTTGACACAGGCCATCACTCCTCTGGGCTCCCCATCACGAGTACGTTTGAAGTAAACGTTGAAGTTTGTTTCTTCGATCCATATGAAGTACTTCACCTCACTTTCAAATTCGAGAAACCTCTGAACAAACTCCTTTCGTATCTCTTTGGTTCGATCATTGTTCATTCCTTCTGGAGTCTGATAGGTGTTCTTCATCGTTATCAAACGGCCATCCTGGTGTCGTGCGAGTGTGGACTTTGAAATATCCTTATCCATCTTGGCATATACTCAGACTAGCATTACGTGTAGTGTTAGAGTTGCGTCCCTCGCGATCCACTCCAGGATGCCATCAATCTCGTCCTCCGACAGAATACGCTTACTCTCGCACGCCTGCGTAGTATCCGGCTTCTGATCACGAGAGCGACAAATCCAGGAGTGGGCAGTTTGATAGTTCGCATTGTTCACGGTTGCCACGCGCTGCCAGTCGACACCGTTGACCACAGCATCCACAACTCGGTCACGAATGTCTGACGAGATACTCTGTCGAGCACGAGAAGGCATGTTGACCACGTTGGAAAGAAAGACATCCATTCAGTCGTACGCTTATGTTCCGGCCGTTTACTGTTCGCAGGCCAAGTGTGATCCAGCGTTTCGGACGTGACGGGGGCGCATAGTAGCTCGGGGCACGCCCATGTCCATGGACTCGAGGTTCATTCACAAGTCTCACCTAGTCAATGGGCAGCGCGCTCACTTCACTTGACTTAGGCACCAAACCCTAGCATCCCGCCAATGAGAACACACTTGAGGACAGAGGATTGGCTGGTGAATTGCACTGGGTTTTGTAAAATTTTGCACCTTCTCTGCAACATTTTTGCAGCTTCTTTGCAAAATTTTTTGACTTTTAATGCAATTTTGCGGGAAATGCTATGGAATTCAAGCTACTCTGCACTTTTTTGATGCTGCGGAAAATATCGATCGGAACTTGTTGGGTACCCTAACTCTCCGTTTAAAATATGCATAACGCTGAATTACCTGTGGCATTTGGTTGCCTATGACGCGAGGGCCGCGGCGAAATTTTCTTCCCGATTCGCCTTTAACTTTACCTGGAAACCGTACACTGTTAACAAGATACTGGCATTCTAATTGTGATGTTCTCTTAAATTACTTCCTGCCTACTTAAGATCCTCATTTCTCTCAATATCTTATATCATCCGGATCACATCTTTTCGTTTATGAGGGTTGCGTTTATGGTCTTAACCTTACGGAGTACGGATGGAGTACGCACTGCTTACGACTGCCCAAATGATGAAATGGCTTTCCAGTATTTTCTGAGTCTAGATGTGATGAATTTCAAATTATGCCATTCAACTCCCCCTACTGTCCACTCGTAATCAGTGCGCAGACCAGGACACTTCTGATGCCATGTGTTACATGTTGACTTAACTTCGGTAACTCGTTGCTGAGGGGTTCTACTCCATCTTGTCGATCTTAACCGCAAAGTCGTGAGACTAGAGTTGCAAGTCTTAGGTTCGCAGGCGATGGCTGGAATGCACACTGTTTCCGATTCACGGTAGGTTGAAACGTATGTGTGATGACTATTCGGCTGCATCATCTTCATTCCACACGCTAGTTGGAGATTATAACGCTAGCTGTTGTGTTGCCATCGGCTGTTACTTTCTTGTACCGTAGATTTAAGATTAACAGTGTTCTCCGCTTTCTGGGTTTTTATTGACATGCCTACAGGTGCCGTCTTTTGTCACTTACACGTTCTGGTTGTTTTATTGGCTCCTTCGGTATACAGAATCTGCTTCTGCTACCTCGGTTTCTTTTAAAGTGCACGAGTTTTATTTTGTTTATAGGAGCTCCGTACTTGATATGTGTTAGATATCGCCCGCACGCAACACTGCACTCCGGGGCCCCGGTTTCGTACGTACACCCGTTAGGTAGACAACAGCCGAAGCCACTATAGATTAAACCACAGTATCGCAGCGAATAATGCTTTTATCTGACGAGTGCAAGCGAGTACGAACCCGATCATAGAGCGCAGTGTTGTGTCTCTGCGGGCAACGCCTAACACTTAGCTGTTTGGAGTATGGTTCTGGTGAACGACGGAAGTTCACTTCGGTGCAAATCCTGCTCCAAAGATTAAGATAACTCGTCGAAATCCGTTCGCACAACGATTACTTCAAAATGGCCCCTTCAGTAATTTTCTTATTGACTTACTGACACCCTAAATTTGATTTCATGTTACCCATTGCAATTCCTCATTTTAGCGTAAGTTTCTACTTCTCTTCGCTAAAGCTGACATAGTTGTCGTGTTTTAATCCATATTTTATGTGCGACCATCGGCCGCTTTTTGCTCAGGTCATGGGGTTTTCGCAGTTTAAACGTCTCTTCCATCGCACGGTTTTTCACTTATTTTGCTTGTCCAACATGTGGATCTGGGGCTCCCTAAACTTATTTGCAAACTACGCAAATATTGGAAAATTGCAAATTGTTTCATTTTGCCAAACTAAACTAACTTTGATCTCACCTTCCTTTCGCCTTGCTTTTTGGAAACCGAGTGTGGCTTTGGTACACTGTTTTTTCCTAAATTTCACCTTGTACATCCGCATTGTTATTTTTACATTATTCAGTGAAGGTTTGCTATCCTTTTGTAGGCCAACATTCGGTTTTTGGAAGGAGAGCGTCGAGGACAAGAGAATCTCAAGCAAGATTTGATACGGCGCATCAAAATGCTAGAATACGCTTTGAAACAAGAACGCGTAAAGTTTGATCAATTCAAGTCTTCCGTTTCTGCGGGTGTTGCCATGTCTCCGGGGACAAAACCATCGTCGGATGATTGTCGTACACAGTTGGTGCGATCTGACCACGAGGTATTAAGGGATCGGCCCTTAGGTCCCGGAGAAAAGCTGAAGCAGTGCACCGAAAACGCCTTGGAAAGCAAAACTAAGTGGTCAGAGAGCCGTACTCGATTGAAGAAGTACGTTACTCCTTGTCTGTGATAATTCAGCCCTAAAGTACAACACTAATTTGTCCGTTTATTTTAACGCTTTAATTTTTGTTTCATCGCACAAATATCTTCATTAAACCGACTGTTTCCTACCGCTTACTTCGGATGATGGACACAATTATTGCGAAAATTATTTCGCCTGATTTTGTTCCCAAGTCGGTCACATTCCGACCTCTACCCGAACTCTGCATCATCTTTACTTTTGAGGCCAATGCAGGATCCACTGACATACTAGAACAGTTGGTGCTTATGGAAATGTATTTTGAGATATATATCTTACGGTTAACATCGATTCGCAATTATTTGTTATTGCTTTTTGTTGTTGTTTGTTTGTATCCTGTACTCGAACACCTCTGTTGGCGTCAGGGTCTACGGTAAACTGTCAGGTGTCGTCGCAACAAGTGGAGATCGCCAGAGTTGTCCGATTTTCTCATTTACATTCAACTTTGTCCTTGACTCCATCATGGAGTATTCCCTTGCGGAATCCCACGATGCGGGTTTTAAAGTGCTGCCTGCTGGAAAAGTAGTTGATCCTGATTATGCGACGATATTCTCTTGCTGTTCAACGATGTCGGGATGGTCTAGTCAACCCTAAATGACCTTTCTAAAGTGTTCCCAACATTTGGTCTGCGTTTTGCTACTTGATTATCCCTTGATCCTTGTCAGCGAAGCACTTGATCAATTTACTTACCTTGGCAGCTGCATCAGCAGCGATGGGCATATGACGTCTCAACGAAAACACGCTGAGCCAGTGGCACACCACCTCCCACAACATCCTTTCTTCATTGCCACCGAGCTTGTGACCAAAAGGAATCGCTCTTACACTTCCTCCGGTCATCTGTACTCACACACGATATTAGCCTTAAATGGCATAACAACATCGCGAAACAGCTTGAGACCGCGATCCGTCCTCTGGGTATTCAGAGTACACATGAACCCAGAATAGCCACTATTGAACTCCTTTTTCAAACCCGACCCGCTCGCTGTCAAGGAGGCAACCGCATATGTTATGGACGTTGCTGTCTGTGATGCGGACCGCATCGAACGAATCCACAAACAAGCGAGGCAATTATAGTGTCGGTCCGCATGCGGAAGCGATCTCCAAATTTGTGGAGTTACAGTTTCCGCGAATGTCGTGCATTATTCACAATCCCGTGATTTTGGACAACCGCGGATTTCTTTGTTCTCAATGATTTGTCTTCATGCTTTGACATTTCAGATCCATGTGTCAGCGTATATGATATGTAACTGCGCGGAGCTTCCTCCTCACAATTTACACACAACACTTAAACACACCGACCAATTTGGTGTACGGTTCCACCCGGTTTATGAATTTCTTTACTCCAGACTATTGTGCCCGTATTCTGCCAGAATATATTCCTGCCTTGGCAATTTGCTGTAAGCTGTGAGCTATGTACACTAGTCAAAAATAAGCATTCTTAGTTTTAATGTTTTAGCAAAGCTGGAACTATCTTCTTGGTATCCAAAGACTTTCCCTTAGTCTGAAAGGCAGTGTGTAGGAGGCCGTCCCACCCTATGATAGTGAGACTTGGCGCTTTCGCTCTGAAGATCTGAGGCTCTCCATTGCCTGCAAATCATTGCCGGTGTCGGATGGCACTAGCGTGTCTGCAACAAAGATGTGCGTTGGCGAGTGCTTGACAGTGATAATCTAGCTAGTTTCTTAAAACAACAACTAGCACTTAAGCAATTGCCTTGGCTTAAACACGTGCTACGTATGGCCGGTCACCGTTTACCGATGAGGGCATTGTTTTGTTTGCCAGATGTAGGATTGTGCAAGGCTTGAGGTCGGAAATAAAGTCACTGTCCACGAAACGAGTGATGTTGATCCGTCTCGCCTTCCGGCCTGGAGTCCACATGACCCGCTTCGTGCTTGGCTCGATACGTTACAGGATGTGGCTCGCACTCGGCACCAGAGACGCATCTGTTGCCATCTCGTGGTCGGACTACCTGTTTAAGGTGTGTTTGGTCCTGAGTGACCTGCACGACAGTGAAAACCGCAAGAAACATGTCTCGCCGATGCTACATTATCCTTGCAGCTGTTTGTGATAGTATGTTGTTGACAAAGTGTAGGCATCTTGACCCCGAATGTTTGCTTACTTCTCTCACACTTCATTTCCTAGGTCACCATGGTTGTACTGCAGCAAATGGTTGCTTTGTTACTACAGTTAATGATTTGCGAATTTCAATCTCCGACATGCTTAACTGGTGGCCGAATACGCAGTATACCTCGCGATTCTGAGCGCTACAGAGCAGACTGGTTGCGCTCATATGGTATTTTACCGATTCATGTTCATGTTAAACTTCACTCCCCGGATGTCACATGACTAAGGCTGCTTTTCAGACGAGCATCGTCTCAAAGTGTATCACATTCACGCTTTCATCGTCGTTTTTCACTGAAGACTGTACAGTGCGGGTTTACTCCACTCTTCAATTTGCTGTCTTTTTTCCTCGCTTTTGATTTCACCATTGACTTCCTTCCGCTTCCTTCCGTTGCATCGGTGTTGGAGCTTGGTGTAATCTGTGTGTGAATTCGGGACAGCCAGGGAATAATTTTTTATAATGGCGCGAATGCATTTTCTGAATATTTAGTTGCGTTTTCACAGCCTATAGAGACATTGAGATCACTCACGCTAATGGTTCTGAGCTAGACCTGGCACTGCGCTATCAATGTCTGTTCTTCGTTTTTGCTAATCTTGCCACTTTTCTTCTTTGTCACCTTTTGATCCATTCCTGATGTGGAATGCAAAGGCGAGCAGTACACGGGTTCATTGGAGCGACGCTTCGCTGCCACGTGAGGACCACTAGTTACTTACTAGCCAGGGGTCCATCTATGTCGCCTTCACTTACTCGGATTAGAACCAAGGACTTGTGTATTACGAGCCAAATGCCTGAATCAGTTAACCGCAGGCTGGCACATCCTGCACGAGTTTCATTTCCTTGTGTTTCATTTTGGTCAATCTTCATTACTGGCGAATTGATTGAGCGAAGCCGTACTGGTCGTAGTTGATAAACTAGACTGAATGGCATCCGGTTATTCGTAGTTACTGTCGCTACTGCTGAGATACAAGTTCACATTCGATGTTATTCCTCTCATTCCGCCGACAGATTTTTACAGGAGGTGGGGTGCACTGAGGCGGTGTTAAATGTTCGACAAGCTCGTGTTCTACAACTCCTTCAGTCAACCCCTGGTTGGCGCGATGCATTGAATAAATTCGGTCACAGTGCTGAATCGTGGAAACAAGCCATGCGAGGGGAAGCTCCGTCTTACGAGAGTGATGAAAACGAGTAAGTTGTATTTCGTTTCCTGTATGCCGACTTTGTCTATGCATCCCCCCATAATCTTACAACTATTCGCTCCTTCCTATAGTGCTGGCAATGAGGGCATTCAACAGGCATTGTCCGAAATGGATGGAGCTGTTCGGGATGGTTACAGCGTTTCATCCTCTCGACCAATTCCGAAAACCAACTATGAGGTAGCCGGTGAATTCACTGAACCTGATACCACGGGGCACTCCTTGGACAGTTCTGAGTCACCTGAGTTCGCACGTGGATGCCACATCAATCGATTTCGTCGTATCGGCGGTGACCGTGCAGTTTCAGCCGGCCAGACAAAGTCACAGCAAAAACCTTCCTATTCAGATGCAGTAAGTTCAAATTGATCAGTTTCTTGCTTTGGAACCTATCGAACTGTTTTCTCTGAACAACCACTTGCTTACGGTATCATCTCGTCTCATGTTGACAGTGTGACGGATGAAGGTACATTAGGTTTCCTTCAGCCAAAAGCCAATTGTATATTGCACTGCGCCATCTGTGACTACTGTTTACCCCGGTTCCAACGACCTTGTACCGCTACCTGACTACAATGTGTGCGTTCATAAGAAACATCCCTAATTCGCATTCTGTCCCTTATTATTATGTAAAATCAGAATCGAATTACTTGCCCTTCCATTTGATTTTTTTCATGTCATTTAACCATTCCCTGTTAGCGATATTTAAAAGGCACGAACTAACACAGTTCGTATTGGTGGTCTTGGGATTCCACTTAATAGGCTCATCTGTCGATCAAACGATGGTTACCATCCAGCTGACAATTATTTAGTCATCAAAGAAAAAGACTGAACAAGGAACATTTATGAAGAATGCTGAGATCCTATAAAGAACCCAAGCATGCGTTCAAATCTGTGCTTGACTTTTCGTGGCCGTTAAACTGATAATGAGGATCTGGTCTTCTTGATTAGCCAATCGATGAGAGTGAATTAGGGGCCACGCGGCGATGTTTTTGTTTCCCGTTCGGAGTGGGTTTTGTTCCAGTCAAACGTTATAACACGAATCTACTTTCCGCGGCCTGATTGTAAACATTGCTCGCGCAGTTATGGGATCTTGGAATCGTGATCTTTGTTGTCATCCTACCGACTGTTTCATACTTGAATAACCTTCGTGTTCTACTACGGGTATGAAAAAGAAAAGGGCATCAGCAGCAGCACCTAATCCCTTCATATCGGCGCTTCACTGCTGTATCCACATCAAGCGAGGTAAGACGTTACTAGAAGAGTCAAATTTAGACCGGATTGGGTCCTCGATCCAGACACACAGTGCCTGTAAGTTATATGCATCGACCACCACCGCCGTGGTGATAGGTAGATCAAAGCTGCTATGTTGTAGGCCCAAAGCAAGTAGTCGTTCAGCTGTAACGCACATTTTTAGCAATGACGAAAGAGGTCGTGATCGCTAAATTGCCTAAAAAGAAGCGTGGTACTAAGACGAGAAATGTTGTTTATCACCATCGCTCAATTTCCCGGTCCCATTTACGAACAACAAGGTTACGGTTCAGTAGGAAATACTCGCCTTTGGTCACATCGATTGTCTACTGCTTTCATTTGTTCATCTACCGGTTCTCCAAGTTGACACAGTTGTGAGAATATAGTGCTTCCGATCAAAATCCAACTGGTGGTGACTGCTTGCTGCTTTTAGGATGTTCCCTTCTTTGTTTGTTGCTTCATATCCTGACCCAAAATTTCTCTTGTCAGTCAAACTCTCGCTTGTTATTCTCCTTTGGATGCATTTCCCGCATCCAGAACTAATTGTTTCGCTGAACGTTTATCGGATTTTTGACTCATGCACTGCACTGCTCAGTCCTCAAACTTTGCCGTCGACTTCTATTGAATGACAATCAACTGGTTTCATCGCATGTCAGCGAGTTGCTTAGCGGAAATTGGACGAAGAACTTTGATTTTGTCTCCTTTGATTGTATTTGTTGTGTCTGCATTTACGTGGTCAATTATCCTTTATGCCCTTTTTCTGTGCGCTGTATCAGCCATATCTGTGGTCAATATGCATAAACGTTTCCACAGATTTACTAAAAATTTACTATTATTCATGTCTTCAGGGTCCTGATCACAGTATTTCTTTTTTCCCGTCACTCCTCTCTAGTACAATCCGAATGATTCATCGGTTACCGGTGCCATCTGGTCTTTCTTCGATAGCCTAAAATCGACTGAGACCCCAGGACTGAAGCGATTTGGCCGCGGCTCCGTCGATAAAAAAACTTTGGTGAGTTTTCTCCTTTGCTATTCACATTTGGAACGAGCACCCATACTTATATCGGAAACTCTACAATTCTTTTTTAGTACTTGGCTACCTTTTCAGCAAATCCAATAATCGTACATAAGCTGAACCTCTCATTCCTCTAATTAAGGGTTCCATTGATGCTTATTGGGAGAAACAAAAGGATCTGACCACTCTGTCTACGAACTCTATCAATGATATCAGTGATCGTTCTTCGAGTCATCAGGTTACACTGAACGATAGAAGAGATCTTGCGGCTGATAACCCCTCACTGGTTCAATTACACATGTCGAAAGAGACAAGTCCGGACGAAGGTCTCATACTTGGGGACCTTGCTACCCTTACGGTGACGAATGATACAGAATGTGCTACAGGTGAGTACTAACTGTTTTGCAACAATTCCGGACGTGGTAAATCTTAGTTACCTGTTTCGCTTGACACACCGTATGGTTTTTTAACGTCCAATCCCATTATTTCGTTCTCTGATACTATTTTATGGCTCGGGATGTGTTACCAATTGGTTACGTTTCTCTGGCATCGTCTTTGGTCAGGTGGAAATCAGTTTACAGACCGTAAAACTAGGGCAATTGACCCCATTAAAATCTTTAACTACTTTTTCGCTCGTATGGCCCAAATTAAAACCACTTTCGACCCAAAATTTCTCCATCTGGACATTGATTTATCGTTCGTACATTAAAGTTGCTATCTGCGCATGTATTCCAATCGCTTATCATCTCGACGCAATGCAAAACTTAAGTTGATGACTCATTTCCTTTAGACATTACGATTCACATTCAGACCAGCACTGATTCTCGAACTAAATTCCCTGCAGGAACCGGCTGGTTTCCGCTTCGTTCGAGGATGTGTAGGCTACATGTTTACTCTCCGCCAGCTCCTCGAGCAGCGTCACCTTTACCGCCCGCCTACCGTTACCGCCTTTTCGGACATCCGCTTTGCGTTCGACCTGGTCTATGAACCTGCTTCATGACGTTGTATGCAAAAGAATGGGCTACCTTTCTAGCATTATGCAGCAATGTCCCTAGCAGAATGAGAATTTACGGTAACTACACTTCACCTTTCGCGGTCACTAGCGGTATACGGCAGGGATGCCTCATGTCCCCATTTCACTTCAATTTTATAACTGACGATGTACAATTAAGTTCTCTGGAAGGTCTCCAAGGTTCTGACATAGGGCTACCTCAACGCGACTTACTTGGACCATGCTGATATATCCGTGCTCAGTATAGTTCCCTGTACACCGCTTGGCAATTGAAGCTTCCAAGAATGGCATTGCCTTTGCCTTCACGAGATGCAAAGTTTTGCTCCCGAATTGGCATCCACCTACGCCAGGACTAACTGTTGAAGGCGCGCAGCTTGATCAGGTGTATAACTTCTTCTAATTGGAGAGTTGCGTTCCTGCTGATGGCACCGGTAAGGGGAGATTTCTCGTCGCTTTTTCGAATCCCAATCAGCGCTCTCTAATCTGTGGCGTCGTCTAGACGCTTGACTCGCGGCAGAGAATAGGGTCTACAATGCCTGTGTTTACGCGGTACTCTTTTATAGACATGAGTCCTACCCGCTTCATGTAAATGATACTTATTAGATTTCGGCCATTGACAACAGTTGCCTGCGGAGGATAGCTCGTATGCGGTCGGAACCACGTTTGCAACGACGATATTAGACCTCGGAGCCTTCATCTCGACAGACTACTACCGCTGCGAGGGCTGGAATGTTTGGGTCACGTATTGTGCATGCCGTGCGAACGCTTAACACGGTGCACTCTATTCGGTTGCTCAGGGGGACGCAGTGGAAGAATGCACGCGGTGGTCAGCCTATCGCAACGACAAAATGTTAATGCGATTTCCAGTTTAAATAAAAATAAATCTCCAGCTTTGCGCCGTAACGGCGCTGTGCTGCCATGCGATCACCACCAATCGCACCTGGGCCGAATATAAAGCGACGCCCACTCCTACGCCGATTAGAACCGGTGATCTTCTGATTGCAAACCACGCGCGAAGACCACGCGGCCACCGACAGGCAATGCAAGCTTTATATGAGTTTTTGTCTTGATTTAACTGATCAACTGAAATAATTAAACAGATAATAAAGACGAAGCGGCGTGTGCAAAAAGCAAACCCGTATCCGATGTAACCTGGGTGCTGTCCGCCCAAAAACACTGCAACAGCCAGTTTCCATCAGTTTCGGCTACGGCTCGTGATCTCATTGACCAAGATTCACTTCAATGTGAATCGCTGTCTACATTGAGATTACGCACCGCAATCCAATCACAAAACGTGTACTTCTAAAAGACCCTCCAATGAAACCCGTATCTGTTTTTGGCACTTATTACGTCCATTCATACCATTGCTTTTGGTGGCTATATATATATATATATATATATATATATATATATATATATATATATATATATATATATATGCGCGTTTGTGTCCCATGCTGTGACTGATGTTGCATTCATGATGCTTCTTCACCGCAGTTGGGCTAAACCAACTTACGCTTACACTTAAACTAGGTCTTTAAGCTGGCTAAATTTCATTCCACTTTATTTGCATTGTTCTGCCTACCTGAATAATTTTCTAATAACTTGCACGCGTTGCTTACACTAATTGTGGTTATCTTCGTTAACTTTGCCTTTGTGGCATTTTTTGAATCACTTGTGGACATTTTGTACTTATCGCCGATTCGTTGCTAACCAACTTATTTCATATGCTTATTTTGCGAAGAGTTATGTCTGCATAGTCGTATGCTTTAGCAGATATATTTTATTTGTTAATGTCATTTCGTGATTGACTGTTGCTTGATATCCCCGGTGCGGCTACGTTTGATGTGCATGTTGACAAGTTGCCTACCTGTCTGTTACCCACTATCGTCCATACTGGCTCCAGGAGACTGTTGATCGTTACTAAAAGGGACTGGGTGCACGGTCCTTGTGGTCGTGCTAGGCTTGAAGAGTGGTTCCACGCATTCAGTGTGGAGCAGACTACGGTCCAGCCACCACTTTGTGTGCACTTGATTCCCCAAATACAGTGTGCTTGTGTTTGCCTGTGAAGGAGTGTGGGCCGGCTCCGTTGATGAAACGGTCTTATTCCTTCGGGTTCGCACTAGAAAAGGAATGTGTGGTTGTAGCTGTAGGTGGTGCAGCGCAACCCACCCATGCTCCGTCTGTAGGTGTAGGCGTCCTGTGGCTGGCCACAGTGACAGGCAAATCCGGAACCGGATGCCGCCAACCATATATATGAGCGTCTCCATGATTGTGTCCGTTTCTTTTTGGTGCTCGTCTTCGGTATATCATTTCTAGTGCGCATTTGTCATCACTCCTGCTCATAGGAAGCAGCACATTATGATGAGTACTGTTGCCTGAGGAAATAATCAGTTAGAACGAGCATCATCAACTTATCACCGCAACCGTGTGGATTCTCCACCAGACAATGTCGGTAGCTCCTTTTCAGCCTGTAAAACGGATTGATCAGTTATACTTTGTAACCGCCTCTTGACTGCAATGCCTTTATGCTCAGTATTCAAAATCGTCGTTTTCCATCATATCGGTTGGTGCATCTTTTCACAGAGGGGGACATGTGCGACTCTAATTCACCTTCCCGTTTGGCTTACGATCCACACATTGGGCATGCATCCAGTGGTATTGCTGGAGATGTCGAAACTAGCAGAGGATCGACTGTCCGTGGACATCAGCTATGGAGTACTCGTTACACTCTTCGTGGCCACTTTGACGGAGTGCGCGACGTAGTTTTCCATCCGGCCGAGTGCGCTGTGTATACAGCTGGAGAGGACGGTTGTGTGATGCTTTGGAATCTAACCAGAAGTGGAACAGTTTCCTCGGTAATTCTAGCCATTCAGTTGGCACCTTTTATGTATGTATTTTCAGGTGATTTATGCTTGCCTTCCGTTAGCCGTTTTTTTGTAATGAACCGGATTAAAGGATTTCCTTCGTTCCGCACCAATTATGCTTCTATTTACTTTCTTCGCAGATTGGTGGTCAAAGCAGGCAACCGGGCCGTAACGTCCAGTGTCCCTCGGATGAGCTCGAACCTGTTCACATCTATGTTGGTCATAAGGGCCCTGTTCTATGCTTGGCCGCTCCCACTGCTGCTCTGGCTGTGGATATGTCCACGATTGTTTTCTCTGGTGGACTTGATGGTACTGTCCGCGGATGGCGGGTCCCACCCGTACTTAGTTCTTCTGGAATGCCGGATTTATATGCTCCTCATGATTTGGACTCCGTTCTTGGTCCTGTTCTGACTGGTCAGTTTTGCTAGATAAACTACACTTTTGTATCGGAGGTGCACGCATGTTATCTAGATCATACATATTCGCGGTTTACTCTGCTATCATCTTCGTTTCGCTTATGGGGGTTGGCGTCACGTACCACCTCTCGCTGCTACTAGGCATTCCCCTCTTGTTTTCCTTTATCATCCCCTGTTGAGGGCGTATTAGCCCGGAAGTTGCCTTCTAATGTTTAATGACGACATTCTAAGCCCTGTTACAATTTTCACTCAACTAATTAGCCATATCTACCTGTTCCCTATCAACACTTGCTTTTACGTCTGCATCTCGACCTCTTCTATTGCTTGTGTGTCGTTCGTACTCTGTGCAACATGCTCGTGTCTGGATGTAGATCAAATCTGCTGCCACTCGCTTATTGTGAGACAACTCATGGTTTCGTCTGTCCCGCATACAGCTGAGGCGACTCAGTTGTCATGGCCCTCATCAACTGTGTGTAGCGATTAGGTTTATTCTTGTGCTACATTCGCGAGTTAGGCAGTTTGTGCAGTGCACAACATGGTATAAAAGACTTTGACAAGCATGTTAAGCAGTTGATTCAGTCCTTCTGATGTCCAACAGGCGATGGTGGATAACTTGTGGATTTTTGTGAGTAGTGCAATGTTCGTAGAAAGGACAGATACTTCGGTCTATTGGGAAGTGACGGGTGGGTGAGCCAATCTGCAACACCAGGACAGATACTGTGAGCTCATTGGCAATATGTCGCGCACCAAGCAGAAGTCATGTATTAAATTGCGCACCTTATCGTTAGCCCTCGGTAGATCAGTGGTAGAGCAGCGGATCGGTAATTCGTGGGACCGGGGTTCGATTCCCCGTCGAGGCAGATTATTGTGTGCAGTTTAATCGTGACTTCTACTTTCTACGAACATTACACTACTCCCAAAAATCCACAGGTAAAGATAAGAGGATTGTACATCAAACGGTGCACACGGAGCGTACAGCATTATCAGTCTAGGGTATGGTAAAAGCTTTAGGAGAGATTGGTTTCATAGGCGTGCTAGCTTGAATGAACAACAGGTGATTTCGATCTTTTAACAACTTAACTTACTAACGCTATGCGCTGAGTTGCCTGTAAAATAGTATAGTTTGCACTCGACCCGGCAGCACAAAATCGAACATTGGCTACCACTTTGTTAATCGAAAATTAACACTTTGCATATACACCTTTTCCTCTATGGTGTGTTCTGCCTCGTTTGTCATATGAGGTATACTTCGTGATTGCTGATGCATTGCTTGTTAATGTTTAGGACTGTACCTTGTTGAAGTGTCGACTGGTGGCCGAAGAAATAGGGCGTCTGCTTTCCAATCTACTGCTCACCTGTGTGAGCCGGTGCACGTATGGTTGGCTTCGCAGTATCTTTAGCCGGTGTGTGACTAGTGGTGGTTGCGTTGCGGCTACACCTCGGTATGGTATGCCGGCGTACTGCAGTTGCTTTCTGGTTGAAGTGGCTGATCATACCTTCGCGATAGGCCGAGGCGAGGGCATTAAATTTTCAGATGATACATGTATCTTCCATTTTGCATCTCCTACGTAACCAGGTTATTATTTGCGGCGCTTGATCGATTCTGTTCAGTCCACATACTGTCACTAATGCGTTCCAGTTTATGATGACGTCACATTCGCCGCTATTTTATCGCATGATTTAGCTCCGAACTTCATCAGTAATACTGCTTTCATTGGTGTAAGTGGTGGCCGTTCATCTCGTTTGGTTGCTGCCCTCTCTGCCTCTACCCAGGTTCCAAGGAAGCAGTTTGGTCCGTGGCTCTGCATCCTTCTAGTCCAGTTTTGACCGCGGCCCATGCAGATGGTTCACTCGAGTTTTGGCTGGTTGCTGAAAAGGCAGACGGGGCCTCAAATCCAAGTTTGTTGCGTTCAGTTCAACTAGACCGAGTATTTTCCCCTGCTGGTGGGTTGCTTCCACTTTTTCTTTCCTCTCTACTGACACGTCCTACAGACCACATGCTCTTTTCGCATAACACTCGTGAGACCTTTTTTCTTGTTGCAGTGTGCACTTCTTGTATTTTTGTAAGCATCATGAGGACTTAAATGTACTTGTTATTTACGGGCACTGACTGTACTTAAATTATGAATAGTGCCTTACCAGCCCTCAGATATTATCACCGATTTTCAGATGATCTTTGTTTGTTACGACCCGTCCAATATGATAGTAAAGCTTAACCTCGCCTTACGCGAATGTGGACATGCGTTTTTGCAAACTTGCGTCTCGAAGTGGAAAAATTGACTATTTTTCATTGGAGTAAGCGACTGTCGAGCACAGCTCATGGTGTGTATCTGCGATCTGGTGTATAGATTCCACAATCAGATTAGAAAAGGAGCATTGCACCTTTTATGTGTACGTCTGTCTAACTGTGACTCGAGTGCAACAGGATAACACTGTGTAAATCATACCTTGTCTGGTGAGCCGGTGTACGCTACGGTACACTCGGCATGTAAGGGATTACTTATCTCCTAATGTCCAACGCATTGAATCCTCTGATCAAACTCCCATGGAGTTGCGTTCACTTGCTCACTCATCCTCTGCTCTGAGTTGTAAAAGCCTATGCTATAGCGATAGGCTTAGCTCGAAGTTCACAATGTCCGGTCTTTCGTAGTACTTCAGGTGGTTGATTTTCTGTTGCCTCAACCGGCCCATTGTCTAAAGGTAACGAACTTGTCTTGCAATCCTAGGGAGCGGGTTTTAGTCTGCTTAAGGGCAGGGCCACCCTCGCAGTACTCTTAGTCCACGTGCGACCGGATGTGGTTGCACGGTAGCGAAGCGTTGGTACTGCGCACCGGCTAACTGTTGATGCCTTTCTCTCATTTTTAATCATTCATCTGCTACCTCAATCTATTAGCTTTTTGGATTTAATCCGATCTTAACTTAGCTTTGTCCTCCCTCAGTCAGTATCATATCCTTTTCATCCAAAATTTTTGCACTACTTTTAGCCACAGACAACGAATCACCTGGGCGTCCCACGTGTCTACACTACCTGGTCAACCGTCCTGACTCACTTGTGTCATCCCACTGCCTTGTTGGAACCAGCACAGGTTGGTTGTTTCTCATGGACGTGCAAACCGGACAGGTGGTGAGCCAATGTTCTCCCGCTCCCAAGAAGACAGAAGCTCCTGCCTTTAATAATGGTAAGTTTCCCGCTTCAATTGATCTCCCTGAATTTTATTCCGATGCGCATAATCGTCAGATTTAACTTGGTGTAGCCTTTGCTATGTCCCCCTCTGAGCTAGGGCACAATAGTGGTCCCGTTGCTGACATCCATTTCTTCCCGTTTTTATGCATTCATGGAACTACTTCACCATCCATAGTTGGATCTGGAGTACCCGATGTGTGGATGGATTGCAACACGCAATCTCTATTGAGACCTCCGTTCACTTTGACGTAGACCTCGGTCATTACGATAACAAGGACCGTATCCGCATTGGAGATGGTTCGGTGTTGCTCTTTCAAACCCTGACACCCCATCACCGGTTTCGTCCTCTACCGCTGCACCAAGCGTTGCTCATGGATCTTAGAGCCATAGTGATCAAAGCGCCAGCATTTAACCACTAGGCCCCGAGTTCCACCCCAGCTCAGACTATCTCTACTTCACCATCCATTGCAAATTGATCTGGAGTACTTACCTCACTTCGGATCACACGCTTATCTGTGCTAAAACCGCTCTACCTTTTGGTGGCTTCCGACACCGTAGCCGGAAACGGCTTGATGTGCCTAAGCTTACTGCTTCAAGCGTTCACGGCGAATTCTAGGACGCATTGGCTCCAAGTCTAAGGAGCACCTCACGCCGAGACATTGAAATGCATTGGGTGTAAATCTGCTGCACCAAGCACAACGCTGCAACCCTAGTCTGTGCCTTCACCGGTAGTTCTGACAACCACTGGTTCTCTGCGCGCTCTCTCCAACTTCTCGAACCCCATCGAACAATTCGCGCTGGCGTTAAATAGCATTCACTGCGCAGCACTACCAACGGTGAGCTCATACAGCATCTCCGGAAAGATCTCTAGGCCTGGTGGACGCAGCTCGCTATTAAGATGGGGCAAGCGGCCACCTGGGGGAATTTCCGTAAGCTTTTCATCCTGATCTGATCCACTGGCGGCAAAAGGCCGACTGTAAGTGAACTTTTATGTGAAACCAATGGCGAGCCAGTCCACTGCCGAAAACCTCGACTTGAGCGTTGGGCCGAGCGTTTTGAGCAACAATTTAACTGGCCAGCACCATCGATGAGTTCACATTCTGTAATCCTTAGTGTTCCCTGGAGCGTAGACGCCACACCATCATCTGAGACTGAGGTTGCCCATGAGCTTCGCTTCTTAAAGCACTACAAAGCTCCTGGTCCAGATCAACTCCCTCTGGCTCTTTTCAAAGATGGAGTCCTATCACTTGCTCGAGAATTAACTTCCCTCCTCCAAAAGATTTGGGTCACTAAGATTATCCCATCGGGTTGCAGCCTATCGGATATCGTGCCCGTCTTCCAAAACAGTACCCGAACTGACTGCGCTAACCACAGAGGGATTGGTCTCATCTGTGTTACTTCAAAGATGCTCGCCGCTCTGCTTTGAGGAGGCTCAGCCTGGTATGCGAACATAGTATGCGTGAAATGCAAACTGCGTTCCGCTTAACTCGCAGTCGTATCGATCACATATTTACACCGACAAATACTCGAGTGTTATCAAACCTCCGTTGGACGCAGTTGACCGAGTTGCTGTCTGGGGTGCTCTGTTGTGTGAGGGAGTTCCCGAGAGGTACATCAACAATATTCGAGCCATCTATCATCGGGTCAAGTGCGGGTGCACGGAGGACTTTCACCTTCTTTAGTATCACCAGTGACGTGAGACGGGGTTGCCAAGCATCACACTGTTCAATTTCGCTATCATCATGGAGAGCGCTCTGGAGAACTGCGAATCCAAGGGCGTTGATCTGCTTCCGAGGGACTGACTTTGGGATTTGGAGTGTGCAGACGACATCACCGTAATCTGCGACTCCTCACAGGGTGCCAAAAATGTCCTGTGTTGGTTTGAGATGCCTGCCTACCAGTTTAGAATGACCTTCGTTCCATCGAAGTGTAATATTTTCCTACAAGACTGGTTAGGATCTGCTCCTACCTTTCACGTCATGCTGTGCAACGGACAGCCAAGTTCATTTACCTCGGAAGCTACATCAGCGCTAATGGTTTAACGATTGAGACCTCATTGCTAATCTCCGCCATTTCTGGCATCGAGACGATCTGAACGTAGCTCTAAAGGAACGAGTCTACAATAACGCTGTAAGAGGTATCGTGCTCTACGGTTGCGTGACTTGGCCTATTCGTGTAAAGGACGTTCATAGGCTGTTTGTTTTTGATCACCACTGGCTTTGGAGTATTGCTGGTGTACCATGGTAACATCCCATTCGTGATAAGGATGTCGTTGAAGGATTTTCAGCTCAGGCAGAACTTGCCGACCGCTGATATGCTAATTTCTTTCCACATGCTTCGGTGCCTTAGGCACGTGCTTTGCATGCTCACTGAGCGTTTGCCTCGCCGTGCACGAGCACTTGTTGCTGGAAACTTTCGGGCATGGCAAAGAACCGTGCATAATGGCGAACGTATTGGGAGACACTACTCCCGTAACTACGGTCTTACACTTTTCTGTCTCCCTCTTTTTACTCAATATCGTTGTACTGCATTACTCCGAACGTTAAGGCATTTTAACACTTGTGCTACTGGTCATGTGGTCCATTCTCTCTCTCTCTCTCTCTCTCTCTCTCTCTCTCTCTATATATATATATATATATATATATATATATATATATATATATATATATATATATATATATATTCACTGCTGTGTTATCTAGCTGATTACCCTCCCTACTGCCATCATTACCACAGCCTTGCCCACTGGTTGGACTTCCCTCGCTCTCAACGGATTAACGGCACAGACCACGTTATCTCTTGTGATTGGCGCCCATGAAGACGGATGCGTTCGATTTTATGACTTTTACCGTATGCCACCTGAACGTTCCATGGTTGGGAGCACTCCATTTATCGAAAGTATGGTCGCCCACGTGGATTCCGTCACATGCCTCGACATTGATCCTCAAGGACTTTATCTACTCACTGGAAGTAAGTCCTTTTGACCTTTAGCAATTTGCTGCCGTGTATCCTGAGATACCTTGGATCCCATGTGAAAATGCGATACTCGAACCATTCCATTTATAGCATCTAACTGCGTATTTATTTGTCCATTTTTATAGGCCATGACGCTTCGATCCGCGTGTGGGACATGGAAACACGTGCTTGTGTCCAGGAAGTGACCAACCATCGTGTTAAGTACAACGAAGCAATCCATGCTGTCGCACTGCACGAACGGCTTCCACTCGCGGCCAGCGCTGGAGCAGATGGAGTTTGTAAAATTTACTGTACATCAAGTTAGCCATATACCTTCTCTTACTTCTCTTATGGCGCCCGTGTTGGTTGATTCAAATCCCTGCGTAGATGCCCAGACGCAGATCATGGTGAAAGCTTTGGGCTCCTATCGTGGCGCTACAAAATGTTGTTGGCCAGGTAGCTCGGTCTGCGCCACAAATGGATCCAGTATCCATTGGGCAATCCAATCACTTCCATCTCACTCGCATACACGACTGGAACCGATACGTTTGTCCTCATTTGCGCTTACCATCTACTCGTTTATGAAAGTCTCTCAGCATTTGTGCTGTTTTACGGCTATTTGAAAGTACTTATTATCTCATAAACTGTATCTCATCCGACCAACATCGGCCGCCCCATCATTTTCCCCCTCTGTTTCTCACATGCCTTCTAGCCGTTATTACTCCATACACTTCTAGTATCCTTGTTCTCCCATTGCTTGTTATCATCTTGACGCCTCCCGGTGTGAGTTCTGCCATCAATGTCCCGTTCGTACGTGAGCTCACCATGCAAATGATATATGCCATGTTGACTTTCAATTTTTGTGCTTGGATTATTCTTGTGTAGTCAGTAATGTTACTGATGCCAGCACAGCGATAAAATGACTTCAACCGAACGGATGTTGATAGTCAGTAGGAAGGCGAACTTTCGAACACGTTAGTTGTCTTGTGACGTACTGCGGGACATAACAAATCGAATCCATGGGGAAGGAGATGCGATCTTCCGGCTAAATTTCATCTGCCATCTGAAACGTTAATCCCACATATGTCGTCCCAGTGACCATGACCTAGTGTTACCTATGCGCTTATGGGAATAGGGACATAGTCAATAGGGAAGCTACCCCAATACCAATGCTAGTCTGAAGAAGCCCCACTGTAACCAGTTAGGTGTAAGTACGGTTGTTCCCGTAGCCTTGTAATCTGAGGGCGCAGGTTCGAGTCTGCGTAGGGACCGGGCGACCATCGCAGTTTGTTTAACCTACGTGCGGCAAGTGGTGGTTGCGCATCAGCGAGATATCAGTACTGTGTATCAGTGTGGTGCTAATGCCTTCCTTTCTTCCATTTACTGTTGACATTCGTGTAACCCTTGTGAATTGTGCCCAGTACTGTAACCACAGTTAGAAAAGTCAAACTTTTGGAACCTTAGCACTGTATCTCTGTACGGTTCTAGTTAAATCTTCTCAGTTCGACATGCACCGCGTTCCACCAAACTCCGGTTTACTTGTTTGCAACCGAATCACTACCTGTTCATATATTCGGAACTATTCTGGTCAATCTAACAAATGAAGTGAGTTCACAGATCCAGCTGGCCTTTTTATGACTTTGGTATGTGTTACTGCATCATGCCCAAAAGTACCACCGCTGTCGCGCCGCGTCAAAAAGTAACGATGCTGTCACAACATATGTTTTGCCAATTTCGGCTTAGTCTAACACGACAGCCTGCGTTACCACGCATTGTTAACCAGTTCGCAGAATCGCCCAGACAAGACTTCAGTGCATCCAAGCCGATTCCCCGGTTGGCTTCCTGTTGTGCTCACGAAATCGATCCCATTCAGTCGCATTACCCGTCTCTGTCGTATCCACTTTTTTCACATATCTTCATTTCCATCTCTTGATACTTCCGACAGCATTTCAACTCTCGGTTTTCCTCACGACACAGTTCACCTCAATTTTTCTCTCATCACTGCTGCTTGATAATCGTCGTTTGATATCTAAGGTTAACTGAGACTGCGATCGTCAGGTGATACAGCGTTTTTATACGCCAAATTCAGGTATACTGAAATTATTAGGTGTGCCACTGAAGGAAAACAACCTAAATGAAACGCGTTAGTCGAATCCGCCTACAAGCCAGTGCTTCTACTTGAAAACAGTTGCTTCTCAGTTCAATGAACAAAGACGAAGCAAGAGTCGCCATAGAACTTGGAAGTATTCAGCAGCACTGAGTTGACCGCTTTGCCAGCGCGATTATGTTTTATCTTTAACTTGTTGAGTCTTAGAAACAAAAGAGATGGGTGGAAGGGCTTGTAGAGAATAAAATGCACCACTTCTGTTGGGAGTGCCCTATCTGAGTGAAAAGTTGGATCTAAGGAACGAGACAGACAACCATTGCTTGTCGGACCCGACGGATTTGATCAGAGCCGTCAACTTGCGCGGCTCCGCTGATTGCTTGAGATTTATGTGCGCTACGGCGAGTTCTTTGTTGTTTGTTTAACTGAATCATGAGAGGAACATCCACTGCGCAGAGACGTCTTTTGTGAAAAGCACAAACCATATCTGTCGAGGGAGTAGTTGGTTGGTATAAGTATACATTCGTCAGATAGACTCAGCCAGCCATCACACACCCGGCCGTTTCATACTTTCAGGAATCTTTAACAGTGCGCATTTTATCTGACTGCTGTGGAGCTACAGCCCGCCACCCCGACTGTTGCCAGTCCATTATGGACGTATCGAAATGTCGCGTAGGTCAAGTATGCTGTAATTTTCGTTGGTTTATCCTTGCGGAACAAACTGCTTGTCCATGAAGGATTGATTTTTACGACAGCGCCAACAACATAGAGAACCTAAAGAACGATGCTCTTTTACTGATCTCAGCTTAACGGGCTCTACCATCACCTACGCTGTTGGAAACGGGCGGATGCGAGTTAAGCATCAGCTGGAAAATTTAGAAGGGCAAATGGCTTGAATTCTTTGTACCGTTGTGTTTGTACGAATAGGCAGACAATGGCGTGCTGCCTCAAGATGTTTCAACAAGCCATCGAAGATAACGCACGCCATGTGTTTTAGACTGCGCTACGTTACACATAAAGATCCATGCGGTCATCAGAAAGCTCTGAGTATTCTGTGTTGTCCAAATGAATGAAACAAATCAGAACTATCTGTCTTCTAATCGAATCACGTCACGGGGTTGAGCGTTTTGCGCAGTTTCTACAATTTTTGTAACTGCATGTCAACTAGCCTCATGGGATAGAATTGCGCTCGGAATTAGCGGTGGAACTCCATTAAACAACCTGCGACGACGAGATCTGTCGCTCAGGCAGTGTGTCGATACATACAACAATGAGTCCTCACTGGCATGCTGCCAAGAAGTGCGACTGTCAACTGACACTAATTTATGCACTTCACCTGATTCCAATAACATAGTTGAGAAATCCCTTGCCATGAAGATAAGAGTTTGAAAACTCGGCGCTGTGTGACATCCGGCCCGTCGCAAACCATATCTAGTGTGGGATCGGGATTGTGTCGTGGAAAAATGAGTAATTTTGTGCGCTGCTACCGACAGACCAAATTGGACTTGCTCATCAATGAGAAGTCACCATCAGACGATACATTCAACGAGAAGTGTGGCAAAAAGTAGAAATGAAGTGTATCTGCACAAATCTCTATTGATGAAAGGACCTTGCGGTACCGACTGGACACAGATGCCACCGTCAATAATACCCATAAAACGCTGTCTCAGCCGTCATGCTCGACCATACCAAGACTGTCTGGACACATGAAATTACCCCATACTCGGCCAAAAGGCTCGGCTACCATCGAACTAACAGGTTTCAAACACGGATCTTCACATCGAATGGATTTCGTTGTCGTAAAAGGCCTCACATTGATTCAGTCCAGTCTATTGACTTCGTTTAATTTAGCGGCCATCCTTTTGCGTATGCATATCAAGTGGAATGTGATGTTTACAATCTGTATCCGTCAGTATTCAGTCAAGGATTGGAGAAATGTGCCGTTACCACCCACTCTACGATGCGACTGATTGTGCTATAGTCTAAGAGGGTTCCGTTTGCATTACGGGACAGTTTCTCCGCTGGATTGAGGAATATGGATGTCACTACAAAGTTGACGAGCCGACAGACTGCGTTAGTCCGGACGTAGTCATTGCGAAGAGGACTGGCGAGTAACGAGTTTGCATTAACTCGTAACCGCTAAATCGAAACACTATGCGCCGCCAACATTGGAAGACGTTTGACTTAGGCAAATTATTTCAAAAAGGTAGACACATCATCTGCATTCTGTCACTTGAGAATACAGTTTCCTTACAACCTTCGTGTCATTCGCGCATTTGCCTCTAGATGCGTTTGTTGCTTGGTTAGAAGGTTCCAAGTGAAGTATTCTGGAAACAGCTGCTGCAATGGTGCAGCGTGTGTTGTAGGCTTTACTGCTTAACTGAAGAAGTAAATGCCGTCATTCACCCGTTTCTTACAACGTTGTGTACAAGCCTTAAACGCGAGGGTATTACAGTCGATCTTGGAAGAATTGAGGCAATGCAAGTGATGTCAATCCTAACGACGTGAAGGCAATTAGTCACCCATGTGGAACGTTGAATCGCTTCTTGCCAGGGCATATTGATATCATGATGCGGAGCAGGAAGCTAGTGCACATAGGAGGAAAGCGGAGTTCGGGACAAGAACAAGAAGCAACACGCATGTTCACTGGGATATTGCGGTCAGGTGCGATCTCTGGAAATGTGGTGTAACCGCATCCTGAGCGGGATGTATGCTGTTCTGAGTTTCTGTCGTCGGGCATCAGCAGTAACAGAAACGCTATACGCAGATTTAACGAGAGATGCTTGCAGCGCGTTGCTATAGTAATTACTTTGAAGGTGGACTACTCATTGCCACAACCGCATGAGCAGTAACCAACAGACTCGGTAGTACATACCGAGGGAAATGATCTCCGACAATGGTCACCAATTCACCAGTCCTGAGTTCCAGGCCTTCGCAATCAAGTGGAAGTTTGCGCACAAGCAAACCAACCATTACCACAATCAACTGGAGTCTGAGTCAGCAGTGAGGCAGGCCATACAGTTGTTATGAAAAGTTAGATCCACTCACGATTTCGGAAAATCGCAAGTCTAGTCAAATTTCGATCTGCGCCAAGTACATTGCCCCTACAGCCAAAAGACGGTCACACTTATGCACGGGTTCGCCGTAGCATGGGAGACTAAAACAGTTTGCGAAGACCACTAAGAAATGATACTGCGGTCGCTGTGCCCGGGCACTACGTGAACTGACGCGGAGAACGCAATTACGGATTCAACCAGTAGCCTGTGTTCTAGAGTGACGGAGGTCGGTGCCAGGTCTTACGAAGTTATTATGAAGATAATATGGACAGAAGAAACAGGGTGCAGTTGAGATGGCATTTGGTGGGGATCAACTAAAGTCGTTTAAAAATTCAGCTACCTAGGAAGCTGTATCAGCACCGTTGGAATTGAAGACGAGCTCACGAACCGTATAGCAACAGCTAGAGGCGCTTTTGTTAATCTTCGCCAACCATTGCGCCGGCACGACATCGTTCTCTCCCTGAAGGGCAAAGTGTACAATACAGCCGTCCGTTCAACTCTGCTTTACGGTTGCGAAACCTGACCCATTAGATCAGCAGACATCAAGAGGTTAGTCACGTTCGACCATCGGTTCCTTCGAAGTCTGGCTTACATTTAGTGGGAACACCGCGTGAGCCACGAGCGTGTTCGACCCCTTGTTTATGGCACAGGAAGAGGAAATGAACCGCTCAGCATCGTTATTTCACGCACCAGACTCCGATGGCTGGGCCACTTGTTGCGCATGCCAGCCAACCTTCTCTCTCGACGTGCGTTGTTTGCGCACCGGGGTGTGCTTAAAAGAAGAGGTGGGGTGGCCACGCAGTGACTTGGTCGAGAGCAATGAAGCGCTTATTTCGACGTTGGCCTCGGCTCCCCGGTTGTGGTCCAAAGGGTGATGAACACCTTTGGCTGGATACACTTGCTAGCATGGCTAGGATCCGACATGAGTGACGTTCGTGTTAAGTTTCTTTGTCCCTCCCCATTTTTCTTGGCCTCCGCTCCAACCGCGATCTCATTTCTTAGCATAATATAAATTTTGCATAATAAATTTTTTTGCTGCATAGTATCCGGCCGGTAATTTTCCGGAACGATGCCCATCCGTTACTGGTAGCCCAGCTGGCGTGCGCTTGTTGCGTATTTTTTCTTATGTGTTGCCGCAACGTTGCTGAAGTTTTCCCCACCGCTAGCAAAGATGTGTAGAGATGATAATGAGACGACACTGGGGAAGATGAGGATAATATAGACCGGGGCGCTTTAGTGTATGGTGACGAGACCACAGCAGCAGATACAGTGCAGGCGACACTGAACTACAAAGGCTCCGTAGCGCCTAGCAAGGTAGAAGTGGAAGGACACGAAAAATGTGGATACGATAAGTGATATGATCCAAGGGACGTGACGGACTACCAATGGGAGACGAAGCCGACGGATTTTATCAATGTCCATCTACACGGCTCCAGTAGCTGGCTGAAGTTGCTCATTGTGTGTTTAACTGAGTCAGAAGTGTAGCTTCCTCGGTCTAGAAACCCACGGTGTGTGTGCAAGTTTTTTTTGACCAAACGTGCTTTAACTCGTAGAGTTTCCGTTACTGGAGTAACCGCTTGTCCCGGAAGAGCTGTCTTGCAATCGACTGTCCTTCATCTGTTCTCAGTATTTCCTTGTTTATAATATACGCCTACACTTGTTGGATATTCTTTGATCATTCTTAGGACAATCGAACGAATCTCTTAATGGTGACATGGTCGTAATGATGCGTAGGGCACCTTACTGGACATTTTGGCAAGCAACATCTGTGTGGCTTTTAGAGTTTTTTCCTCACCGATTAGCCAAGTTGAACGAAGGCTCACACTTCGAAGTTGATTTCTGTTGTTGCTTCCGAACTTCCGGGTTGAGGTCCCAAAGACGATGAGCACGTTTACTTGGAGACACTCGTTGACGTGACCAAAAACTGATGTAAGTGGCGCTTGTGTTTTTCTTTTCTTTGTCCTTCCCCTTTCAACCACTATCCCTTTTTGGACCATAATGAAAACGAAGTACAGTATTTGTATTGTTTTTTCCTACCATCTAATTACTTTATATTGCAGCATATATATGATGCCATCCCTAGGCGAAGATCGGTACTTTCTTTATATCTAGCTTATTCTCCGCTATAGCTATTACTGATCGGTCTTTTTCATCATGGTCATATGTATGAGGACCATAAGTTGTTGCTCTGTTAGTTAATCATGATCCGGGAACCAAAGCGGTATCGATCCACATGCTGCGGTTCATGTTAGCACAATAGGAATACTTGACAAAACCTTGAGAAAGGAACGCGAACATGCGTTTTTGCAATAAACAAAAGGGTTTTAAAGGCATACACACGGGTAGAATTAAAACGACGGTATTCGCAGAACATCGTGTAATTTATATTTACATTGTATGGTCTCGTGCGTCTTGAAGATCATGTTTCGAAGTGATCCAGCCTTCTCCAGTAAGGCACCATACAGAGCTTGCTCAATGAACTTAGAAAACCGGTACGTATCAGTCAGGCTTTTGACGCAGTGGCTACTTGCTGTTTCTGGCATTCCGCCCATTGAATGAACCGATTTCCATCCGGCTCCGCGGTTGATAGGTTCTATAGCGGAATCAGAAATATAAAGGGTGTACTGTGATTAATCATGCTTAGGCGAATGAGGTCCCGCGACTACTGTGAAAGTAATTATGGTATGAAACTCCTGCGTCGATCACCAACCAACTGTATCTGGTTTGTTGGGTTGGAATTAAGGTGGTACATACGATATTTGCCGGAACGACAAAGTGATTGCACAACTTACCACAAGATTTCCTTATGAACAGGAGAGGCATTTCCTGATGTTCCACAACAGCTAGTGGCTAACCTGACTTGTGTTTCGAGAGAAGGCAAGGTGAACTGACACCCTCTTTCGGTTAGTGGCAGCATGGACTTCATTTCATAGCTTCGAGAAAATAACATGAATGCTGTGCATCTGTAAACCTCGGTACAAACGTTTTGAGAATCATTTAAGCGAGTGATGTCACAATTCAATGTAGTGTAGTTTAATGTACTAAGCCGGCTGCTCCCGCAGGCATCAGCAACTCCAAGGAATACTTGGAATACGAACTGGAAAACCCATTCCTTGCCAAAGCGGAACTTTCTTTAGTCCTTTTACCGGCACCGAGGAATGTAAACGTTGGAGACGTCAGAATCAGCTGACCACGGTCACTCATCCAGCATAAATTGTGATGAGTTGGAATGCTGTCGGGTGTCCCGCTTCTGGTATTCACCCATAGAGATGGACGGGGCTAACCCTCACTATATACCTAGCCTAAGAGATGAGATTCAATCTAAAGTACTCAATAACGTTCACACATAGTAGACTCCTCGACGGCCTATTTCCCATGCAAATCAGTTGAACATCTGAGATAGCGAAGCGAAGTAATGCAATGTTCAGTCACTTTAATGATCAGCCAAAAGGATACATTGCGCTGCGGTACTATATTATGCGCAGCTGACGCCTCGATGATGTAGTCATTGACGTACAACGCGCGAAGTGGGCTAGGTATCTTTATCGCAGGAATCCAGCATGGAACGGGTGTCGGTTCTGGACTCCACTCCGCTTACATGTTGACGGTATTTCATATTTGTCAGCATATTCCGAACGTAAGGTAAAATTTACGTGCTAGTTGACCCTTGGTCAATAAAGTCACCAGTCCCACTCACAACTTCCTTGTTCTCTTAGCGAAGAATACACATCTCCATTGGTCACTGGTGGATTCAACCAATTTTTGAAGCAGACTCATCATTTCAAGAAGTGTTAAATACTTTGTACTGGTCCCGATCCGGATGTACACCCAGATAATGAGATCTGCTAACAAAGTTAAAAATTTCAATCACGATCATGCAGAAGGATGATGTTTGCCGGTGGGAAATCATTTAAGGACTGATTCAGTTAAGTTAGCATAACACACCCATTTTTACCTAATGTTGGCCGGACAGGACAATCCTTTTATCACTGGCACTTTGTATCTGGTGCAGTTGTTTGCCGAGTCGTAAGGGCGCTCACTAACTACAGCACCGTGTGATGCGCAATAGATGGCCAGTGACCGTGTTATTCCAATACCATGCCTATGTTCTCCGAGCCCAGTCATAGTAGACCCGAAGAGCAGAATGTGATGAAAGTTTGTAATGGGTGTGAAAAGACGGGGTTGTCATATATCCACATGTTTGCTCATAGAATGTTCCGTTTCGGAGTTTCACGATTTAGGCATTGAGATACTGCCTTATGGAAAACTAGTTGGTGGTGATTATGCGGACGATATTGTCTTGCTGTTTAGCGATGCTGGGGTGGCTCGTTCAAACCTCAGTGGTCTCTCTAGAATAGTCCCACCATTTGGCATGCAAAGTATTGCTGAAGCACAACCAGTTATCTGATGATTGGTTGACCCTTGAGGACGAGGAACTAGAAGTAATTGGTAGCTCACATTATCTGCCATGTGATGAAAATGTATCGGCGCTTAGACTGTAGTTGGGCCATCCAGGCATATTGGTTGTGTCGATGGGTTCCGAAATCAACTTCAGTTTGATATGCCGGGATTAGCTGCTCTAAACTAGAATGTTGGCTGGATCATTAGTCGCCCGATGTCTATGTCACGATTATACGATTCAAGAGTCATTCATTATTGGTCCTGGTGACACCATGATAAAGAGCAGACCTCTCAATGATTGTGTCATTACTAACCAGCATCTCAGGTATGTATGGCATGAATACCTCACTGATCTCAACACAAGAAAGTGACGATCAATTTTCTGCATGCGTCTCAAAGTAATGATTAACTTTAATCAATGTATCGATCTTTTCTGCAGATAAACAATGTAATTTTACGCTCCTGCGCTTCTTTTTAATGGTCTCTGTCACTCTTATTTGACCCTGTAGTGCGCAATCATTTTCCCATGAGAATATTCTGCAAATCAATTTCACAAAGGTATGACTAGTGGGTGTCATGTAATAACAATAGTAATAATAACAATAATAATAATAAATCTATCGCTAGCGGTGACCCTGCTTTGACCATTAGTCACGTGTCAGTCTTGTTAAAGATGATGGAATGTCATACAAAGTTCAGGACGACCAACATTTTACTCCTTCGAAAGTCGACAACTAATTCATAAATGGGATTCCCTTATATTCAAGTTTTGCCCTAGGAATTTCTAAATATGCTTATTAATTCACTGGATCGTGGCTTACCCCCAATTGTTATCTACCTTGACATGTACAAGGATTTCGATCGTATGCCTCAACCCTATTCTAGCTAAACTCTAGACCTGCGGTACAAGGGGCTCTTAGATGGTATGACTTATGTCGTGCAACTGCAACCGCATAATTCCCAATCCAAGGCTATCACCAACAGGGTCATACCCGAAAAGCATTCTTCATCCGCAATTCGAATTCTGGTTTTGATTATGAACAATTATACAAAGCAGTCCAGTGATGTTCCTACTATTTGTGAATGATATCTTCAGTCTAGTCAAATTTGGCACGTCTTCTTGTTGATGGCAATAAAAATAGTTTCATCTCTCCATCCTCCCACCACCTCTGTGATACTAACGTGAATTCAAATGCAATCGAAACACAGTGTACTATGTGCATAATGTCGTTCACCACTGACATTTGCAGCTCCATGTAATATAAGTGCAGTATTAACCAAAATACCGTGATGCTGTCAGGCTATTCGTAACCTAAGGCTTCGTTACTCATGCTTCCTTTACTTCTCAAAGTGAGTGTGTTATGTAACAACTAGGGGAAAACAGTGCACTACATTACTATTTAGAGATTTATTTCTAAGGGATTCCATTTGTTCAACGCTCTGCATTTAGTTGAATACTGCAGTACGACATATAGTGAACCAACGAAGCTCGATCGTATCATCAGCGAACAAGTGTATCGAGCGCTCACGAAGCACCTTGCTCAACTTTATCCCTCTTTCAGCAATGTAATTTTGGACAAGTGTGACTGTTTTATTTCCAAGTTATAGGGTCATTGACCACTCATTTATGGTCACAGAAGTGAGCACTAAACGGAGGGCGGATGAACAATTTCGATGACCATCGGCTTCCATGGGGGGCGTATGAGCCACCCGTCTGTCAACGGTCTTCGCGGTTCGCGGTATACGTCAATCGCCTCAATGTCTTACGGGTTAGATCTTTTATGACCAAAGGCTCCGGGTGGAGTCTTCTAAGTCAACCTTCATATTTTGCCTGGGCAACCGGGAAGCATCATGCACACACAACCTATGGATCCACGTCTTAACAATTCTTCATTTGGTCTCTCTGCTGTCACTATCTGGAACTGCTCCCTTCGGCCGAGGTGCTGGCACCTGAACTTGCCACATCACATTTCACCGCATCATCCTTTAATCGCTTCATTCCACGTTTGTTCAACCTCCTACACTTGGTCTTCCAACTCCGTTTCCGAGTCCACAACACTATGCCACCTTGGGCGAGCATTCTCGCCATACAGAACAGAAGCTCTAAGGTGCACCAAGTCGTGTTGACAAGCCATTTTTAGTGCCCCGTTCTCAATTCAAGATGTCAGCCTACAATATTCGGACGCTGATGCAGATCGGATCACAAGCAGCCCTTGCCTGTACTCCAGAAACTGCGGCGGTTGCTGCCTCAGTGAGACCCATTTACAGGACTCTAGCACGAAGCTATGACTGCTTTCGTAGTCTGCGGGTACCACTTTGCGCCTATCTGGAGACTCAACCGCTAAAGCCGCTGATCATGCTAGTGCGTAGATTGCGTTGAGCGCACATGCTAGGGCCGCGCTACTAGACTGGATCCCTGCCAGCAGTCGATTCTGCGCAATCCGACTAGGAACCTCAATGTGAGTGTCCAGGCGCAAAGCCAGCAAACGCTGTCTATTCATTGTCGCAGCATACGCTCCCACATACTGCAGCCCGGAGTCGGTTAAGTGCGAGTTCTATGATCAACTGGCCGACGTTCTCCGTAAAAAGCGCCGCAACATCGTGGTGCTCGCTGGGGACTTGAACGCACAAGTTGGTAGACTTGAAGTTGACGAACGTGAACTCGGTGGTCAACACGGCCATGACATTCGCAGAACAGACAACGCTTATCGCCTACTTCCGCTCTGCGCCGACCACAGCTTTGTTTTGTGGAGCACTAGCTTTTGGGGATTCTGGCGCCAACGCACAACGTCACACAAACTGCATATCACCATCATTTATCCCTAGTGGGGCTGCATACAGGATTGCAAATCAATCTAGAGTACCTATGTCACTTCGGATCACACGCTGGTGTGTGCCAAGTTCTCGCTACGTTTTGGCGGCTCGCAGCAGCGTCGCTAAAAATGGCTTGACACCTAAAGTTCTCCGCGCATCTCAGGATACTTTGAACTTAAGGCTGAAAACTGTCTCATGCATAGACATTGAAGCACGCTGGACAAACATCTGCGGCGCCATGCACAACGCTGCAACCCTTGTCTGTGCCTTCACCGGTAGTTCTGACAACCACTGGTTCTCTGCGCGATCTCTCCAACTTCTCGAACCCCATCGAACAATTCCCGCTGGCGTTAAATAGCATTCACTACGCAGCACTACCAACCCTGAGCTCGTACAGCATCTCCGGAAAGATCTCTAGGCCTGGTGGACGCAGTGTGTTATTAAGATGGGGCAAGCGGCCACCTGGGGGAGTTTCCGTAAGCTTTTCATCCTGATCTGATCCACTGGCGGCAAAAGGCCGACTGTAAGTGAACTTTTATGTGAAACCAATGGCGAGTCAGTCCACTGCCGAAAACCTCGACTTAAGCGTTGGGCCGAGCATTTTGAGCAACAATTTAACTGGCCAGCACTACCGATGAGTTCACATTCCGTAATCTCCCTGTGTGTGTAGACACTTCACCACCGTCTGAGGCTGAGGTTGCCTATGAGCTCCGCTTCTTATAGCGCTACAAAGCCTCTGGTCCAGATCAACACCTTCTGGCTCTTTTCAAAGATGGAGTCCTATCACTTGCTCGAGAATTAACTTCCCTCCTCCAAAAGATTTGAGTCACTAAGATTATCCCATCTGATTGCAGCCTATCGGATATCGTGCCCGTCTTCCGAAACAGTGCTCGAATTGACTGCGCTAACCACAGAGGGATTGGTCTCATCTGTGTTGCTTCAAAGATGCTCGCCGCTCTGCTTTGAGGAGGTTCAGAAGGGTATGCGAACAACATGCTGGGTTGTGCTCTTGTCGGAGTTGCATCGATCACATTTTGACACTCCGACAATACTCGAGCGTAATCAGACAGTTGGCCGGCCAACGGTCGTTGCGTTTTTAGACATACTAGCCAAGTTTGACTCTGCTGACCGAACTATTCTCTGGAGTTGTCTAATGAGAAGGTGAATGGAGTCTGAGTATACGGCGGACATTCACCTCCTTTAGTACCACCAGTGGCGTGAGACAGGTTTGCCAAGCGTCCCACTTTCTGTTCAACATCGCTCCGAACGAAATACTGGGGAGTGCTCTTGCGAACTGCGAGCCCAGCGGCGTTGATCTGCTTCCGATGGACTGACTTCGGGATTTGGAGTATGCTGACAACATCGCCGTAATATGCTATTCCTCACAGACCACCCAAAATATCCAGTGTATATTGGAGGTATCTGCCTCTCAGTTTGGAATGATCTTCACACTATCGAAGTACAAGGCCTTTCTTCGGGACTGGCTATGCACTGTTCCTATTTTTACTCTTACAGGTTATTTGTCGGACGTGGCAGACAAGTTCGTTAACCTCGGAAGCTGCATTAGCGCTAATGGTTTAACGGATGAGGTCTCTGCGCGTCTCCAAAGACCAGGGTTGATTTTGAATATCTCCGCCATCTTTGGCGTCGAGGCGATCTAAGTCTATCTCTGAAGTTCCGAGTTTACAATGCTACGGATGGATGTGAGACTTGACCTGTTCACACCAAGGAGGTTTGATCACCGTTGCCTTCGGAGCATTGCTGGTGTACAAGAAGCAATAACACACTAGTAATGAGGATGCTCGACGGAGGATTTTTAGATCAGATAGACTTTGCCGGCCACTGAGCAGCATAATTTCACTGCGCAGACTTCAGTGGTTTGGGCATGTGCTTCGCATGCCTACTCATGGTTTACCTCACTGTGCTCTCTTCGCGCGAGCAGAAGTCGGCTGGGAGCGGAAACAAGGTGGCCATCGTATGAATTGGGCTAGAAGCATGATGGAGATAACCTCAAAGTTAGCCGTGGTCGAGCGCTCTCGACTTCCTGGCTAGGGGCTCAAGGATCACGATCACACATGGCTGGAAACCCTTTCGGATATGGCAAGAAACCGTGCGTAATTGTGGACCTGATGTGACAATCTATTCCCATGAACATTTATTTCTTTTTATTCTTTTGTCTTCCTTTGTTAGTTGTATTTACCCTATGTTGTGGCACCATGGCCGGCCGGTGGCCGAGTGGTCTGCACACCTGACTTGTAGTCATGTCACCGGTTCGAATCCGCATAGAGGCGGGCGTCCACGCGGTATATTGTGCCTATGCGCGACTGGTGGTGGTCGCGCAGCAGCGAAGCGCCGTTGTGGCGTACAGCTGACGATTTATCTTTTTCTTTTTGGCACCATACCGATTGCACTATTGATTAGGGCATTCAAATTATACGTTTGTTTCCTTCTTGCCTTGTTTTCCTACTCAACAGTTGTAGGATCATTCTTCCTGATCTGTCAATGTGTTATCGAAAAGTACCAGTGAAAAGCACGGTTGTAGTACTCTTGTTGCTAACTGTAGGTGGTGAAATTCTATGCTTTGAGGTGAGATGTGTTCACGGGTTCCTAACGCTCTGGTAAGCCAACATACAGTGTAAATTCTAGCTACATCTGAGAACCGTGCGAATAGGTTAGCGGATTCCACTTGTGTACATTTGGCTCTCCTTGTGTCTCCAATTACACTGTTGACCCCGCTACGTTCAAGCTGGATGTCAAGATGTAAACCGACCAAATGCACACAACGAATTACTATTAGCCACCGGTTTGTAGTGCAAATCATGGTGGTCAACCTCCGTTGATTACGAGTGATACAATTAAGCAACGGCGCGCAACAATCGGACAATGTAACTAAACAATTTACATCTAATGAACACCACCTCACTTGTATTTTCCCTCCGTTCGTTGATTCCTCCTTTTTATACTTCCAATGATTGCTCTTCGGGGAACATGAAGAAAGTGAGCGTGTAGTCATCCTGAAGAGCCCCGGAATGTCGGTGGAAGTGTATAGAGTACCGAATTGCAGTTGGATAACAAGATAATAAAATGCGCCAACGATATCTCTATGAACGGTTTATGAAATTCTACGTTGATCAGTCCGAGTATGATTATCGTTCTAGTTAGTTGATCAGTATGATTTGAACGGTGATGAGAAACGTATAAGTCAACGCATAGCCCGATTTAGCGTGGCAGTGTTCCGAACCATCAAATTTAGTAACGTATACAACAGGAGTGAATGCAAAGCAGTTTCCCATTTACTTCCTCACAATCCCCAAGTGTTAGAGGATGGTCAAATATAGCAATTTGATCTCCTGCAGCAGGGACTGTGAGTTTAAGTGGATTCCGAATCCTGGTAATTCGAACCTTTAAATCTCCGGGTTCGTATGAAGTCGCACTTGGTGACCCCTTCTATTCCAAAGTCAACTTTTGCATGGTCTCACAAGCAACATCTTGTATTCTGCGCACTGGAGATAAGTACTGGACATGAAAACTCTGGTAACTTATGAATAGTCGAGATATTGGCAGTTGGTTTATGCTTCACACATGAGTATCCAAACGTAAACGGGGGAAATATCGTAAACTTTCACGCAATTATCTTAATCAACTTTACTTGACGCTTGTTCATCCTCAATTCTTGTGCTTTGCTTGCACATTCAGAGGAGTCCAGTCCAGCCTTCACACGGGCTTTGGATTTCAGTTTCCGATGTGCACACCACTTCTTTAAAGCCGATTTTTGAGTTTCTCGTTCCTCCATGATTGCAGATTGACCGGACCTTGAAGCCTGTGCATTTTCTGATATTTGATTGGTTCTAACATTCCGGACAAGTTTGTTCTATTACAAAAGATAAAAAGACTGTTTTTATTTAGTCTTTAGTGTGTGAATGCAGTCTTTTTGGAAGTATTTTATAATACCGTAAAAAAGTGTCCACACAATCTCCAAATTGCGATTGCATATGGTAATTCAAACACAGCGATCATTAAGTTCAAAAATGATGGTTGTACCAGGCACTGCCGGACTCCCGTAACCTAATGAAAAAGTCGCTGTGTATCAAACGCTTGGCCACGAGTTCTTCTATCCCTTCCAGTTCAAATAAAACGAAACCAGCGTCGATTCCTCTACATCAAAGGTGCCTTCGAGTGGGTGAATCGATCTACCCTTTGAGACCGTCTGCACAGGAAAGGTGTGCCCAATAAATGTACCAATGTCACAAGAGCATTGTACGCGCATAGTTGGGGCAGAGTGAGGGCTTATGGCAGACTGTCACTGTCCTACAATATATCCAGCATTGTGAGACAAGGTTGCCCGCTGTCACCATTTCTTTTTAAATTCGCCATCTACAATTCATGGAAACCGCATTCATTGGACACGACCTACAAGGTATGGGGCTGCTTCCTGGTGAGCGACGTGTTGATTTGGAGTATGTCGACGAAATAGAGCAAATTTGTGACAGCTCTCAAACTTTCTAAGCAGTACTAGACCATTTGCGGCTGACTGTCAATGTTTTCGGCCTATGCTTTGCATCCTCGAAATACAAAGTATCTCTCCAAGATTGGCCAGGACCTACTCCTGCACTGACCTTTAGTGGTGATCGGTCAAAAGTCGCCTAGAAATTCTGGTATCTGGACAGCTTTGTTAGCGCCTATGAAATGAGCGATGAGATCCCGAACCCTGTAACGAAAGCTCGAGGTGATTTTGTTGCTCTCCGCCACTTGTGGCGCCAGTGTACATCATTCTTGCTCTGAAGAACAGACTACAATGCATTTGTCCGTTCATTCCTCCTTAACAGTCGCTAATCCTAACCCATCAGATCGACAGACTAGTTGCGTTTGACCACTGATACCTCCGCAGTTTAGCTCATATCTGGTGGGAACACCGTGTAAGCAACGAGTGTTTTCGATTCCGTTTATTTGGTGCAGAGTGAGTAAGTGAACTGCTCAGCACTGTTATGTCATGCACCTGGCTGCGATGCCAGTACACCAAATCCGCGACCGGCTTGTGGGTGGAAGAAGAGAAGGAGAGGCCAAGCGATGACTTCGTTAAGAAGAATGAAGTCCCTCACTATGAGGTTGGCGTCGGTTGGTGTCACCCGACTGCCCGGCTGCGGTTCCAGGTACGATGAATACACTAGTTGACATAGCGAAGATCCGATCACAATGGCGTTTTCTGTTGCGAGTTACTATTTCTTCCTCTACCCACTTTGCTTTTCACTACAACAACGATATCACACTCCATGAATAACATGATATATTGTTTTCTGGTTTATGTATTTTGTACTACTTAGTATTTCGCTTTTTAATAAATCTTATCTTCTTGTATTAGGGCACGATAGTTAAGGGGTCTTTTTAATTTTAAGCTAACGTATAATGATGCTGATGTTGATACCAATCGTGGAGTTGTGATGTAAGAAGTATGGAAAACTGGATTTTTCCAGAAACTGTGTTCCTTGAAAACGACATTAGCCTCAACCCGGCGGTATCAGATAAAATAGGTATCTGTATGACACCGGTACGCAGTACCGACGCTTCATTGCTATGCCAACCACCAACAGTCGCGCATGGGCTGAGGATACTGTGAGGGTCGCCCTGTTCCATACGCAAGCTCGAGTTTGCGCCCTCGGATTACGATGCAGGTTTTTGGTCTCTCAAGGCCACGTGCCGGCGGTGTCAAATAATCACATAAATTCTGAAATTACTCAGAGCTTTGCAAAATAAGACGTTAAAATTTGTTGCTTGTTGGCTGTCCCCTGAGTGAGATGCCAAAAGTCAAATATATTGGAAGCTGTGAGGAAAATAAATCAACCACCATAAGGCTGCAGAAGGGGAGTGCATTTCTGAAAAATACCGATAGGGGCGCGTAGTAATGGCACAACAAACATGTACAGTTATAACATATTTAGACCGTAAATGAATCGAGGATAATGGCTAAAGAACATGAATAAGAATTTTACAGAAATACTCCCTAAAGTCGAGTGCATTGCTGGTCTTTTAAGATTGGTAAAAAGATGGATTCAAAAGAAAACGGCATATCATCGCTAAATGGAAGCAATTACTTACGCGGGACTCTCTCCATACCTTTATTGCATGACGCTTTGCGTTTTCCAGGCTCTTTAGCTGATTCCACCAACATTCGTGTTCCAGCACTTCTTCAGGGGTCCTAGTGACTAGCGCGTCTGCCACCATTCGATGGAATGCTGTAGGATATTTTTCAACATGTCCGTCTGAATCGACCGCTGTATTTTCATCCATTCGGCTTTGTGAGCAGTCAAAAGTGCGCGACTTTTCGGGTTGCATCGTAGCTATTTCCCCGTTATCTTTTACACGTAGTTTGTGGCTCTTAGTGGCATACAATCGCATAAAAACCGAATGCTCCATCTGGGTCCAACGTCCAAGACGTCCGCCATTGTGATCAAGAAAGCGCTGCAGAAAGAATAAATTATGATATGATCTCGGTACCTGAGGAATTAATTGGAGGAACCGATATGCAGCGAAGTACGTAGCGAAACAAATCTGCATTGAATAATTCTCGACGATACTTATGGATTAATGACGTAAGAATATAAAGTAAACCATGTTCATTTTTTGATTAACAATAAAGAGCGCGCATACTTTTGGAAGATGGACCTACCAGAGAAGCCGGTGGTGAATGCCACATCTAAAGCGAACGAATAGACATAGTTTGTATATGGCTTATATGCGGGATAAAAGTGAGTACCCTATTCCAGCGTTTTGCAAGAGCACTGCATACAGTAGTTTGCAAATTTGTCAGCTCCTGCTGCGTTGCATTATGATTCGAAATGTAACGACGAGTTCTGGATCGCAGTTGAAGTGTTACTCGCTGATCCTGGTAGCATGAGAGCAAATATGTTAGCCAGCAGTCAAGTGATCTCGAGCTGGACTTTCAATTTAGTCCCTATTTACCTAGAGTCCACGTGTGGATAGAGCCGATAATATCATGCAGCGTCAAGATCTCAGATACCATTTTAGTGATTGGAATGTTCTAGCTTTTCCATAATAAAATCTGTAGCCTAACTAGGGATGTCGTACTGCAAACACAAGTCGAATTAAGATAAACAAAAATATTTTTATCTTTCACTAAATCTCGGTCCCTAAGCGCTCGATCAATTGACTAACCGTGAACTTGTCCGTGCAAATTCTTGCATCCACAATAATCAAAACGCGTAAACATCATTGTACCAACCAACTTCACCTGGCTTGCGCGAAAATTATGATATGAATACTGGTTCACTTCATCAGACCAACTGATCACCAATAAATCAGTTAAATGAAGTGACAGTCCCGATACGTTAGATTTCTACGTTACTTTCACTGGATGGATTGAAACTGTTGACCCGAATAACCCTTTGGTTGTATTTTCAAGTGCAGAGGGGTTAATTCCAAGCATATGTAACATTAAAAAATCATATGAAAGAGACATTGTACTTGGAAGGCTGCAACCTCTGGCGGTGTAGTAGATCCTTCTAGTGGAATCGAAACCTGTTTCAACGGTCTTCTGGATGGACTGATGTGTTTCTTGCGACGCTGAATCTTTTTATCATTCTCCTCTTCCCAAGAGTTCAGCTGACTCTTCATTTGTACGCAGTCGCGCCATAAGTTTACTTCCTGACATAGTAAAGATTCTGCGCTAATAGAACAGAAAATGAGTGAGTACCTCCTACTATAAGGTATAATATGCGAATCATGAAAAGTTCCATTTTTTATGGCGCATCTGATAGTGTGCTCGCAAATATCACTATTACTTCTATAGTCAGTCCACAAACATCGACCTATTGCCCACTAAATGCGTCCAACTTAGGCATGACCAATAATCCCTGGTTCCATGATATATATGCGTTCAAAATTTGCTTCACTGAAACTTATTTGCAGGGTTTTAGGTAGATATTTAAGCGGCTCTCTGAATGCTGATTCAATAGATGCATCCACAATGCAATTACTTAGAGACAACCTCACAAGCCGTTAATCAGGTCGTTGAGGCAATAGCGAGTCAAAGAGGTCATCAGCAGTGCGCCTGCACACTTTACTGACGCTTCGCTGCCACGCGACAACCACCGGTTGTGCGTAGTGTGAGTATACCGCGAGGACGCCCGCTCCTACGCGAATTCGAACCGGTGACCTAAAGATTGTAAGCCAGGAGTGCAATCCTTTCGGCCACCGGCCGACAATACTTACTCTTTCGTCTGAACTCATACTTTGATTCTCCGCCATCGTTATATTTATGGCTCTTCTTCTCATCACCCTTAAGTACATTAGATCGGTGGCGTGGAATTTAGTAAGTCAGATTTCGATTCTAATACTAAATTTGAGAAACCGAACTTGGTTGGACCATGTAGGAAAACAGGTAAACATTCGAACCACTCCGAGCTGGAAGTGGGCTTGAAGTCAGTAGGCAGGCTGCGGTCTTTCTTTGGAGGTCTGTTTTCGAAATTCGTGATTCCGAGAACAGGGAGAATTAGTAAACCGGACACCATAAGCATGAAGCAGTTAAAACCGTCGTACATAGAAAACCTTTTGAGAGAATTAACCACCACTACTACTGATGATTTAAGGGTAACAAAGTCATTACACATTATCGTGAACTACTAGGTTACCAAAATATTTTTCGAGTAATTGGAATGGGGATTATCAGGCTGCAAATGCCAGAGCATCAGTTAGGTTACATCTACTCATTAATTGGCAATAACGAGGTATATAAGGGAAAATCAGGTTCTACATTGATGGGATTAATCCGTTACATATACCCCCTACAACAGTGCCCGCATTCATGGAAAGATTCAACTTTGAAAGTCTACAGGATGCTGAAGGCATCAAGCGGCTCTTTAAACTAACACCGGTGGCGGGAACGTGGCTAAATTGTGCCGATAAATCCTGGCTTCTGGCACGCACACGTATTAATTAAGTTTGCACCAAGACAGGGACAGTAACCTGCTGAGCAAGGTATTAATGAGAAGACCTCAGCTAGGTAGACCTAGATGCAAACAGTTGCACAGCTCCGTAAGACCTAAAAGTCACACTTCGACTATATAAGAAAATTCTGAAAGACTGCTGTCGAACATAATTAAAAATGCAAACCAATCGTTTGGTCCCCACTACGCATTAGTAAATTTTGTTTCATATCAAACTGTTGTTCCACGACTGCTTCTGAATTGGAAGCAACATGGCAACTTTTGCTTTCAAGCGGCGACATAAACGCGTACATCAACCGCGATTCCGCCCGTCTGATAAGTATGAAGTTGAGCAGTAAACGAATCCACGAGAATACGTAAAAAATAGCTCGAATACATCTAACTTTGCGTAATATTGAAAGTTTTGGATATTTCTATAAATCTTACCGTCGATCCAGATTGAGGCTACTTGCCGAAACGTACTGACAAAACAGATACCTCAAAAGAGCTATCATTAACCCACGAAAAGTTCATGAACGATCTATAAGGACAGTCTAGACAACCAGTAAGCGACTATGCTGTTTCTGTTTTATTTTAACTGCTTGATGCTACAGCAAATTTAAGATTACCGTTAAAGCCGCATGGAATTTCTGGTCACGATTTCAACTGGGGATGTGCACGCGTGAACGGGATGGGGCAGTGTGTGCATGTATGGCTATATCTCCTGCCATACTGTGTTCCTAGCAGTATCCCGCATGGACCAGCCAGAAAGTTGCCTGACTGATTGATAAAACGAAGCTCTTAAATAATGCGAATGTCAGCAGGATCTCTGACCTTATCTTTTCGGCTATGGCTAGAATCCGCTTATCGTTACCTGTAGCAGTCTGGAGATTCCTCCGGTTTGGCAGCGTACAATTTTAACTGAAATCATTGTTCATGGTACATTTAGGCAACCGGTGCGGATTGTTGAACAGGCTGTTGAGTTCGATTGTTTGAGTCGAGCGTCGCCATTTTGCTTGGCGCTCGTTTCGATTGCAACGCGCGATCGCCCTTTGTGTTGTGCATTTTGCGTTCCCTTAGCAGTATCAAACGGTGTCGTTTTTTATAGGTAGGCAAACGGAACCTTTTGCTGTACAAATAAAAAATTCCCTGCAACTCGATTTGGAATCGCTATCCACGCTCCGGCTAATTTGCTGGCCCCGCTTTCAGAACCACCTCAACGCCGAATATTTCAAATCTTTCTCCGGTGCGCTCGGTCCATTTGTTGTTTTCAAACCTTGTTTTTGCTTACAGTAGCATCCTTTGGTAATCATTTTTAACCTATGGATACTGTAGACCATAGGGTAGTGTCTGTAGAGGACCGTTATCTAATAAGTTCGAGTGCGGAGGCAAAAGACAATCTTAGGCAAAAACTCAAAATAGAAGAACTTTTAAGCACACTTGTATCATGGTTCTTCCTTCAGTCAATGTTATTCCGATGCCGACTAGCGATTCGAAGATATACATCCGACTAATGGAAATACATGACAGCAACACAAGCAGTGGCCGCAGAAAACGAAAGCAGCACAACATGAGTGTGTAGAAATTGTTGTATTCCAAATTTGTGAATTTAAACCAATGGCACAAAATGGTCGGTAACGGAAATGAGGAAATAATAATAATGATAATGTGCCAGCTGCACGCTGTAACGGCGCTCCGCTGCCGCGCGACCACCACCAGTCGCGCGCGGGCTGGGTTTACCGCGAGGACGCCCTCCCCTATGCGGATTCGAACCGGTGATCTTATGGTTGCAAACCAGGTACACAGACCACTCGGCCACGGGCCGACACATGATGAAAACAAAGATAAAATATAGTGTAATCACAACCACTACAGAACTCCCCCTAGAGCTTGCGCTGGTAAGCAGCAATCGATACAGCGTTCATGGAACATATTGTGCTAGTTTGGAGGGGAATGAAACAACACGACCTGAACGTGTGTGGACAGGATCGCTTTTTGGAGGGCACAAGGATCCCAAGGTTTGGGTATCGGTCATGCGTTTGTCAGTGGGCAACGGCCTAGGCACAGGAGGGTTGTGAGTGGTTGACGTTGATTCTGAACCATCCAACGCTGACTCGACGTATGCGGGTTTAAGACGATCAATGCTCACAGAATCCCTCGATCCATTCCTATCCAGAACGAAGTATTTCGTTTTCCGCGATAAGACCTTAAATGGATCTTCATAAGGCGCTGTCAAGGATCTTCGAACAGCATCGATTCGGATAAAGACGAATGGACAAGTATGTAAGTCAGGATGTATACGCTGCTCACGCGTGCTTAGTCGAGGTGGAGTCGGATTAATGGATCGAAAATGGTGCTTCAAGCGTTCAGCATAGGACGTAGGATTCAATTCGCCGATGATTCGTGGGTCTAGTATCATCTCGCCTGGGAGTCTGAAGGTTGTGCCAAAGACAAGTTCGCCTGGGCAGCATCCGATATCTTCTTTGACGGTATTGCGAATACCAAGAAGAATAGCTGGAAGGCGTTCAAACTAACGGACATAAGGCGAAATAGCTGTAATGGCAGCTTTCAGTAGTCGATTAAATTGTTCGACAAGGCCATTGGCAGCAGGATGATAGGCAATCGTCTGGAAATGAGTACAACCGAGCAGTCGACCCAAGTCACGGAAAAGGGTGTAACTAAATTGAGATCCTCTGTCAGTAGTGATGGTGGCTGGTACACCGAAGAATGAAATCCACGATTCGACGAAAGCACGAGCAACAGTTTCAGATGATATATCACGTAAGGGAATTGCGTGGGGAAAGCGAGTAAAGCGATCAACACAAGTCAACAGATAAGTGAAACCGTTAGAAGCTGGTAACGGTCCTTTTAAATCAAGGTGAATGTGTTTGACTCGGGCTTCGGGGAGTGAAAACGTACCAAGAGTTGCAACAGTGTGTTTTTGAATCTTGCTGGTTTGACAAATAAAACAGGTTTTGGCCCATTGTCGGATGTCTGTGCGCATATTGGGCCAGATGTAACGATCGGTAATTAGTTACACAGTAGCTCAAATACTGGGGTGCGATAATCCATGAAGATGGTCAAAGACCACTCGCCGGTAGGACTGTGGAAAAAACGGTCTGGGTTTACCGAAAAAATAATATCGCAGTAGATTCTTGCGTCAGAATTGTGCACGGGAAATTGCAAGAGTTTTAAAGAAGTGCTCGATCGAAGCTGTGTTAATTCTGGGTCACTGGCTTGGGCAACAGACATTTCCTCTAGATCGATGGGCGAGCGTGAAAGCTGATGGATTTGAACACGGGATAGTGTGTCCGCAACAGGGTTGTTAGGACCATCAATATAGCGAATTTCAACACAAAACGGGAAGATAATCAAGGTGTCGAGTCTTTCTAGGGGAGTAACGGTCAGAAGTGACATGAAAAACACAAGGGGCTTATGATCTGTCAAGATGACAAAACGTCGACCCCCAAGAATGTGACGAAAAAGCTTCATAGCCAGGTACACGCCAAAGAGCTCTCAACCGAACGTACTGTACCTGGTCTGGGCAACTTGAAGCTCCCGTGAGAAGAAAGACAATGGTTGAATTTCGTTACCCGCGAGCTACTGCAATACCGCACCAACGGCGGATTGTGAAGCGTCTGTCTTAAGAATGACAGTGACGTTATCGTCCGTTCTCAACTATGCAATTGAAGTAGCTTTGCTAAGCTTTTGCTTGACTGCGTTAAACGCTGCTTCGGCGTCT